TGTCCCTCTTCTCATTGATCCACCAGCTTCAGTCCCCCTTCTCAACGATCCACCAGCTTCAGTTCCTCTTCTCATTGATCCACCAGCTTCAGTCCCCCTTCTCAACGATCCACCAGCTTCAGTCCCTCTTCTCAAAGTCCCATCCGCTTCGTATGAGTGCTGCCCACCACGTGTGCCAGTTATAGGAGACCCGGGCACACTCATTCCACTAGCTTCAGTCCGTTTCGTACTTCTGAATCCTCCGTCCGTTTCGTAGGACTGCTGACCGCCGCGTCTGCCGAGGGTGTCTCTACCGGTAGTGTCTCTACCAATCGTACTTCTGCCAATCGTACTTCTGCCAATCGTACTTCTGTTAATCGTACTTCTGCCAATCGTACTTCTTCCAAGCGTGCCAGCATCTTTGAAGTCTCCCAATAAAGGCTCCTCAACATCATCCCGTTCTTCACCACCTCTCGGGTCCCTGTACCCCGCCTTCCTCTGGAGTGTTGCATCTTTACCACCGGTAGCGGCCAGGCTCCATTCTATATCAGCCAGCTGTTTCTTCAGTGTAGCCATTGACTCCGCGTAACTAAGCGTGCTCTGACCGGCGACATGGCCGGTATCATGACCGTCGCCGAATGTATTTACCGAACTCACGCCGAAGCTGCCGTCATAGCTAGCTGCAGTTGTACCACCTTCAGTGGCACCGTCGCTGAACATGCTGTTATTATCGTCCGTGTATCCATGTGGATTGCTGGCCTCGTCGAGGTACAGGGGATTGGTAGGATCCGTTTCATAATCAATATCTGCACTACTATCGCCTGGTCGTCGGTAAATTTTGATTCGCAGAGCGTCTTCTCTCCAGTTGAATCCGTTAATTTTGAATTTCATGAAGGACTGTTCCGGTGCCAGCACCAACGCTTCAACAGGAGCCTTACCAGCGGACTCAATAGTTACGACCCCTGCCACGCAGTCGTCAGTCAGCGGAGGCTGGGAACCGTTTTCCGCAACCAGCATGGCCAACAAACTGTCCACCTGCACACCACCTTCTATTGCACACCTGATTGTCTTCATTTCACACCCGCTCTGATTCTGATTACCCAATGAGATAATTAACCTGATAATTTGCCGCCAAAATGACGACGCAACAACCACGCCCTCACGCACCCAAGAACTTTAAAAGACCACCACTGACTACATGACCACCACTGACTACATGACCACTACTGACTACATGACCACCACTGACGACATGACCATCACCGACTACATGGCAACCACTTCTGGCAACACCGTCAGAAAGAATCACTTGCTGAGACTCCTCTCGGAGATTTTGAACAGCCAGACCCGAACCACCTAGGGCAATGATTTGCCCACAATGAACACTACCACGTCTACTCACTACCACGTCTATCTAGTACAGACCCTTAAATGCCCAAGTGCAAGAAGTATGTGCACTAAAACATGGTCTGTAAGTTTTTCGCATCGCTTTTCAAATATCAACCAACTTGCTTGGTTTGGTTTTGATTGATGCCACCATACCACATTGATTATACAGCAGTGAAACAGCTGCCCAACTTGGAGCAGCTTTCCGGTGTGAAGCAGCTGCCCAACTTGGAGCAGCTTTCCGGTGTGAAACAGCTGCCCAACTTGGAGCAGCTTTCGGGTGTGAAGCAGCTGCCCAACTTGGAGCAGCTTTCCGGTGTGAAGCAGCTGCCCAACTTGGAGCAGCTTTCCGGTGTGAAGCAGCTGCCCAACTTGGAGCAGCTGCCTTATGTAGAGTCACGTTTTACGAGGTTGTTACAGATGGATCCGTCTTTTGACGTGTCTGAGTCGACAGCGGCGGACGGTGGTGACTTTGAGTCGATTACTGTGCAAGTACAGGGTGGGGCGTGTCTGCCATGGTGTGCGAAGGAGTCTGAGGATGTGCGGGAGGTAGTAGAATGTTTAGAATTAATACCGTCGAATTGTAGTGCGACAGTTCGTGCGAGAACATCAATCAAACAGCAGGAGGTGTGCGAAGCGGAAGATGACACGTTCCAGATCATGTTTGATTATCGACTGCCAACGATGGGTGCCGTGGAGTTCCAGTATGGATCTGTGGTTCTTAATTTTTTCCCGAGGCTGAATGATTTCGCCGATGTTGACGTACGAGTTTATACCGGAAGCAAAGCAGAACCAGGTTGCAAACTCGTTCAGGAAACACCATGTCTACCTCTCGTCCGACTTGTCAATGACGGAAGATTCGTAAGACTCTCCGACATACCCAGCAGAGACAGCAATCGCATGATGAGAATTGTTATCCCAAAGACACCCAGCTCGATCTGGCTTGATAGCGTCTACATTCACCCAGCCAGAATAGAAAATGTTGGGTCGTACACGCAACCATTTTTCCTCTGTATTATTTTCTTCTTATTCGTATTTTGATTACCGTGTTGTGGTCTGATTACCGTGTTGAGGTCTGATCGCCATGTTGTGGTCTGATTACCGTGTTGTGGTCTGATTACCGTGTTGTGGTCTGATCGCCGTGTTGAGACCTTTCTGGGACTTGTTTGGATGCGGCGTCAACCACTCAAGGGAAAAAATAACTTTTACAAACACCTCAGGAAGGGAACGTGATTTTGGCTGTAGTTCAAGATTGGGATGGGAAGAGACAGCACCCGGACGTGCACGACAGCAACCCTTATGGTCAGCTTATTGAGTCGGTTCTGAAGACAGCCTCTAATATATATCGATCAATCGAAGGTAACTCTAGCCCTTCAATAAAAGGCGTTGAAGAGATGTTGGTGTATAGCTCAGAAGGTATAACTCAGGAGGTACATACCGCTAGTTACAACGCAATGGGAATAATAAAATTTCTTAATGAGAACGCTCAAGTGTATTTCTGGTGAGTTTGGCGCCCGAATGGCCGGAGTGCTGGCGGTAGGCCTGGATCCGTCGGTTGTGACGGAAGCAAGGCCGTTGACGGCGTCTGAAGTTGGGAGAGCGATAGTGGTGGAGCCGAGTCAGTGGGCCCGGGAAATTTGGCGACATAGCGTGGGTAAGAATTTGGAGAGTTTCTTTAGGGCCAACACTCATAGGCCAAAGCAGCTAATTAAATTCTTCAAGAACAAGATGCCGGGTGTCTTGGAGGATGTTCCTGAATTCCCCTTTATGACTCGTCGACAGTTGGAGGATTATGAACAGCGACGTAGCAATCGAGCAGCGGTACAGATGCTTCACTCTGGAGAGGGTCAGTCTCGCACGGGAGATGGCGTAAGTACGGTTCACTGGTTGTGGCGTGCCTTCGATGCAGTTAGCGGGAGCAACGAACGTTTGTTTTGCGGTGCCCCCTTTAAAGAGGATGCCTCTCCACTTTACCCAGAAAGATTGGACGGTACGGGTCGTATAGGACGGTCACCACCGGCCTTGGTTCTTTGGGCTTACCATGATGGACGAGTGGGCAACATGTCTCCCGAGCAGAGCATACAGAATCTCGCATTACTTGCCCGCTGGCATCCGGCCGCGGCTTTCCGGTACGCGATGTACAACCTGGAACGGGAAGCACCGTTAAAACGGCGGGCCCCCGACCTTTCCGTCGATTTTGATAGCATCTGGCAAGTCACACGACTCTGGCTGCCCGGAGGCCCCGTGCGAAATGTAGACGACATGCTCGGGTCGATGGCGTATGAGGTGACCATGTTCTTACAAAGTATTAAAGACCAGTTCGTGGATCCCAAAAGGGACCTGCCCGTATTCTATCGGTCCATTCAGAATCTGAAGCATACCTTGGCCGGGAAGCACTACGGGAAACTGGAGAGTCGATATCGCGAGGCTTACATCAATTGCAGAGACCGCATGATAGCGACCTATTTCCCAGACGGAACCGCCGCGACGGAACCTTCAGCTGCACAACGGGAAGGGTACCCAGTGGGTTCGAGGAGAAAAATCATCGATGCCGACCACTACCGCCAGTCTTTGGAATTGCGTCAGTGGGCGTGGATGGAAGAAGTACTCGTGCGTACTCTGTTCGACAAACTGGTCTTTTTACATGCCACCAACACAGACCAAGACCGGAACGCGGTTGCCCTGACTCTGCGCGGACCGGAACCTTTCCCGCTCACCTTATCTCAAGATCAACTGCGTTCCAGCTACGACGATGCGCTATCGGACGTGGTAGAACGAGTAGCCATCGAGCAAGCGCACGACTACGCCTGCAGGGTCTGCTGTGCCGCCATTTCTGCCGTCGCCTATTCCCGAGACGCGGTGCTTGATGCACCTGCCGAAGACGGCATGAACGTGGCGGCTAAATGTTGATTTTTTTTCCCCTAACAACAACCCAACATTTGTCCCCCCCCAACATTTGTTGGCGTGAGTTGTTCTAATTAGTTAGGGGGGCTAGCTAAATGTGTCGCACTTATTTGAGTGCTTGTGTCGCATCCACCATGCAACTGCTTCGATGGCTCGGCGATCGCATTCTATCTTCGGTTGTAGAGAAAAAAGATTCATCTCGACGGACATTTCGCATTGAAAGTTCCCTGCTAGTAAGAGTAAACAATCGCGCAAGTGTTTGCACAATCGCGCAAGTGTTTGCACACCCGTGTGGTCAATAAACCATCATTGAACCGTCAGTGGTTCTAGGTCTGACAACCTTGTGCCAGTTCTTATAGAGCATGTCGTAGATAATGGCATAGTTATTTCTCGTATCCATATCCGTAACCTTCATTTGGAACCATTGTTTTTCGTCAAGCTCTTTTAGCGTATTTCTGTAGTCCTCCACGTTGGGGTACTTGATGATTTTTGTAATGAGTTTTGCTCGTTGAAGGAAGTACTTGCTAGCACTATCCCGCAAATTGAAGGCAGCCTCCTCCACACGACTTAGCTCGTGAATCACATCCTCTTGAATCGCAACACCAAAATTGTTCCCGTCTTCAATGCGAGGAATGTTCAGCTGTATCCAAAGCTTAACAGAAGCGACGAGTTCCAGCAGCTCAGCCGATTCCGTCTTCATCCTCTCAATCCGTTTCATAATCACACTATTGGAGAGGGCTTTGGCATCATAAATATACTCTGGCAACTTCATAACTACACCTGGTTGGGTCTCGACCGACTCCGTCTACACAAGATAAAGATCCAGCACATCAGCGGTGGCCACCCAGGTGAGTGAGTGGTGTTTACTTACTCGTAGTCTTTTTCCATTTTCATTCTTGACACAGGCGTCCTTCTCCGATAAAAGGATGATGTTCGGTATTCGGTACATCTCATCGTCGGCGGGGAAGTCCTGTACGTTCATGAGCGACATGGGCTCCGCGGATATCGGCATGACATCGTCAAACTCCTTCATCTTGCGCGGGATTATTTCCTGTAAAACTTGCAACGCCTTTTTGGTCACCTCTTCCTTGAACCGTTCATAATTAGCCTGCAACCCTGGGTCCGTAGCCTTCAGTTCTTTCGGCAACGCACTCGACGCACACTTGCCACTCATTTTAGCCGACGGCAAAATATTATTATTACTTGCGACGCATCTCCACAGACCGCGAAACCGGCCACGACTGACTCCGCCTCCCTACCCCCGCCGCCAACTTCACACACCGGCGACTCCGGAACTGCGTGTGCAGTCCCTCCACCGTCGCTGCCAACAACTGCGTCGCCTTCAGCAACTCCGGCACCACTGCCGTAGCCGCCGACGAGCAAGCCACGCCGCCGCCCGCCGCGCCCGAGTGCGTCGCACGCGTGTGCGCCGTATGCGCCGCCCAGCTGCGCCACGCCGCACGCCACACTGCCGGCCGCACGGCCGTCGGCTGCAGCGGCCCCGCCAGTGCGTCGTAGCCCGCCAACTGCCGCAACTGGAAGAACTGCTCACCGTCGATGCCACAGCGCGCACACTCGGCGGCCGGCGGCTGGAACTCTTCGTCCGCGTCCTCATGCCATGGCGCCTTCCGGCAAATGTTCGACAACTCACGCACCAGGTTCACTTCGTCGCTCTCCGCGTAAAAGACTTCCCGCGCTATCACCTCAGAAACGTCCACTGCTCGTCCCACCGCCGGCGCGGGGACCACCTTCGCCGGGCAGGCCGGCGAAGCCGGCCGCGCCCGTTCGCGGGGGCCGGCACCCGGAGTCGAAGACAGGCGCCCGTCGGCGGACCTGCCACGTGCGGCACGGCCTTCGGCCGCGCCCAACTCGACGAGTTTGCCTGCGGAGTTCGCCGTGCCGGAACTCCGCGGCTTCTCCGCGCCCGCCCCTGCACTAGCCGCCGCTACACCGCTCGCCTTAGCCGGTGATACTTGCCAGCCGCGCAGACGGCAGACGAAGTGGCAGGGGTGGAAGAGAATCTCCACGGGACTCAAGTCGTCCTGTTTCCGCACCGGGACCAACATGTACGGCAGACACGAACGTGTATCCTGGAACAAACTGGCCACGCCGAAGGCACCTCCTTCCGCACCCACTGGCAACAACTCCGGAACCGGCAGCGCCGTAGGGGCGCTCGGCACTGGCGCAACGGGCGGAACGGTAGCAGCAGTAGGGATTCCCGTGGTGAGCACTCCAGTGGGTGCCTCGGCGGGTGGGGCTCTAGCAGTTATGGCAGCGTCAGAAACTGCCACGGGCGGGATCCCTACAGGCGGGATTCCCACAAATGGGATTCCAGAGGTGCGAACTCCAACGGGTGGGACTCCTGGGGTGGGTGGTCCCGGAATAGAGACTCCGGCTGTGGGGACTCCGGCGGAGGGGACTCCGGCGGTGGGGACTCCGGCGGTGGGCAGGGTGGTAGTAGTGGGTAGGGTGGTAGTAGTGGGTAGGGTGGTAGTAGTGGAGATGTCGTCTTCGGCGCAGTCGGCGCGTTTCGCCGCAGCGTCCCGGCTGCTCGCGTCTTCATCGAGCGTGGCTCGGCGACCGGACCGTGCGGGTTCGAGTTCGAATCCGGATTCCGCGCGTTCGAATGCAGCGGGACGCGCGCGCGCAGCCGCGGCGGCCGCAGCCAAGGGGAACTGGCGCCGCGCGAGCAGCTCCACTGCGGAGTACGGCGGCGGCGGCGGCAGCGTCAGGACGCGAGGCGAGAGCAACTCCGGCCCGACGGCCGCACCCCCCAGCCCGGCCGCAGGGGTGTCGTGTACCGCAGCTGTGCCGTGTGCACCCGCAGGGGTGCGTGCGGCAGTGTGTGCCTCCCTGGCGGCGGTCTCCCAGGCCTCGGTCTCCCTGGCGGCGGTCTCCCTGGCCCCCGCCTCGGCCTCGGGGGCGACCTCGGCGGCGGCCTCGGGGGCACGTTCATTGTGGGTGGCAGGGTCGTCTGCGTGACATTGGAGACGTGGTCCGAAATGTGTCGGCGGAAAGTGCGTGGGCGGGAACTGGGTAGGGGGCAGTGCGACGTCCCGGAAATCGGCGGTGAGGTTTTCGCCGAACTGTTCCAGGGTGTGGCGGTAAGCGGTAGGTGGAAGCACGGTGTAGAGTGTGCCATGCACGACAGATCGTGAGTCGCGGCGACTAAGGAAAGCACGAGTCCACCAAGTGGACCAGTCGGTGCAGATGCTGGTAATGCGGACGAGATGGAGACGTCCATGACAGAGTATGAGAGCGAAGTCCGTAGTCGCCTTGGAGCAGCACCAACAGAATGGGTGCACACGTGCTTGTTGGATCCCACGAGCACTGACATAGTTCGCTCCCCATGTGGCATCCGCCTCACTCCCCGCATCCGGCGGCGCGGTACTTGTCGCGGCGGCAGTACCCGTGGCGGTGGTAGTACCCGTGGCGGTGGTAGTACCCATGGCGGTGGTAGTACCCATGGCGGTGGTAGTACCCGTAGCTGTGGTGGGTGGACGGTTTTCGGCTTCGAGCATCTGGCGAAGTTGTTCGTCGCAGCCTGGAAGTGTATAACGATCCGGCAAGGTCTCTTGGAACAGGGCGGCGAGGAGATGTCGGAAGACCCTTGCAATGAATTCGTGCCCGGCGCCGCCCGCGCTCTCATCGCCTGGGTGTGAAAACAGAAGCCGTGCCGCTCGCGGTCCGCGACGATCGCAAGCCAACACTTGTGGCAATTTCCGCACACGCCGTCGCGCCTCTTCGATAAACGAAAGGATCTTTTCCATTATGACATACGCTCGACGCAACTCTAGTAAATATACCAGCCACGTTGCCGCCGACGTCTTCGAAGCC